ACACACAGGGCCCTGAGACAAGAAACGTGGCCAACCCCACTGACGCTACGGGAGAAGCTATGCGGGCCGCCAGATGAACTGACTAGGACGGCCCAATTTATGACAGATACCGGACTTCAAGTGTGATGCGATCGAGAAGAAGAAAGGTTTTCTTGATTTTTTTGGAGAGGGGGTAGAGCGAGGATGATTAGAAGAACGATGGATTTACTGTTGGAGGTCAATAACCACAGAGGGTCGGGATCAGCAGTGTCTTCTTGCGCTCCATCGACTGTTTGTTCTTAGTGAAGTTTAGTTTTAGTAAGGTTTTACACGGCGCTCACAACTGCAAAAGGTCGTATTATGAGCGCCAAGGGGTGGATGTCAACAGAGAAGTCCAAATGGGGAATCAGGCTTATTCGATGGCGTCGACGGTCTAGTGGTTAGGCTACTGGACTCGTAATCGTGAGATTGCTGGTTCACGGGTTCGAGCCTCAGCTCGGTCCGACGTTGTGTCCTTGGGAAAGGCACTTTACACGAATTTCCACGCTTGGTTCGGTCCTTTCGGAGATGGACGTTAGCCTAAACTCGGAGGTCCTGACTCTTAAATAACATAATAGTTTTGACTTGGGCGTTAAACCTGCACGAGATACGAGGAGATATCCTAACTGGGGGCTACACCCACACGTGACTTTCACTCGGTTCTTCCAGGTCTTCATTATTGCAGCAATTATAATATACTTGACAATTTTCCTCTGAGCTGACGTCACTTTGTCACAGCACCGTTAGACCGGCTCACTCAGAAGACCTGAGTTCAAATCCCGATGATTTTAAAAAATCGAGTGTCTTCGTCTGTTTGCTGGCCCGTTTTATTCCTCTGCACCCCACTACCAACAACAACAGCAGCAGCAGCAGCAAAAATAACAGAAAGCAACAACAACAACAACAACAACAAAAACAACAAAGACAATAATGATAACAACAACAACAACAACAACAACAGCAGCATAAAAAATAACAAAAAGCAACAACAACAACAACTACAACAATAATAATTATAAAATGAAATGAATGCACACTGATCCTCCAATCTTCTCAGTTTCAGCTCAATATGTACTTTTTCTTCTTTTTCTTCTTACAACAGACTTCATTTTTGGACAACACACACATAGATAGCGGCGCCTCTGGACCCGGGAAGTGTGGAAAACCTGGCACCCAGCACTGACCTCCTCCTCGCCTGTCACTGGCCATTTCAAACTGGGGAATAAAAAAAAAAAAAGGGAAAATGGGTTAATTGTCCTTCTTAAACTGGGAATAGGAAAATGGGGAAATGGGTTAACTGACTATCTCTAACTGGGGAACAGGAAAAATGGGTTAACATGAAGTTCATCTGTGTTTATGTGTGAGTGGGG